ACATCATCACGCCGGGTGCTCTCCAGAGTTACAGGAGATCCAAGAAAGGGATAAGGAATATAAAAAGCTATTCAGAGGGAAGCTGCTGTCTTCAAAAGAAAATAATGCAGAGACTAAAACTAGGCCATTTAAAACCCTAGAAAACTGATGGAAAATGTATAGTCCTAACCTTAGGGTTTTCTAAAAGATCAGAGGCTATTTGAGAAAATACAAATGAGTGACCACTTTTTAGCTTCTCAGGATCTAAGGGATCACTGTGCTTCAAGAGGACGTTGTCTGCAGGTGGCCCTGAACATAGCCACAACCCAAGAATTCATGCCACACCCAGTGGTTGGGAGGGGGAAGCACTGGGCCGGGGCCTCAAGTTATGTTTAAGAGCTTCACCTTTATTTTCAGATGAAGTTAAACATACAGTCACAGAAAAGCCTGATGGGATTAAATAAAAATGATTTTTTGACTTGAGTCCCACAGCAAGCCACACCAATAGTTGTGTATTATGAATTAATATTTCAACAAATCCTGCAATTATATAGTCTCATTTTATTGCATTTTTTATTGTTATTGCATCTTATATTATCATTACTTATTGCGTTATATTTGTGTATGTGCACATTAAGAGTTTCAGCTTGTTAAAAATAAGCATCCAAATTGTCTCCATTAAAATAAAGATTTTTTTTTTTCTTTTTTTCTGGAGCTTCAAAGAATGGAAGTGGTTCTGCCTTTTTAAATCTCTTGGAGGCCTTGTCTTGAGCCAAGTGCCCCTTTGCCAGCTATCTTTCAGGCAATGACCTTGGTAAACATAATTTTTTAAAAAAGACTTCAAGATCATTTCCACTTAGAAGGATGGAAGGAAGCAAACAGAAATGCTTGTTAGGGAGCAGGAATAGAGTGCTGCAAAGTTCTTGATTAGAAAGCATGACCATAAGTTAAGATGCTCCTGAATTTGTTGGAATTACAAAGCACACTTGGCCATGGCTGTTAGGGATATAGTTTTACATTTTACAAGACAAGAAAAGACTTTCAGGTATTCTGTCCAGATTGTGTGGGATTCTGGGATTTGGTCTGAGATTCTGTGAACCACATCCCTCCCACCTAAGGATGGCAGGTCGTTGGCCCAGCTCTGCCTCTGATGCCTCAGACATCTACCCCCTAAAAACACGAGCAAGAATCTGCCTCTGTCTGTTGATTTACCTGTGAGGAAGGACACAACAATTTGGCCTTTATTAAGGTAAAGACATGCATCCCAAGAGACATCTTCACTGTTTTGAATCCTCTGAGATGATCAAAAACAATAGGTCTAAGGCCTCTTCCTGGAATAGTTTAAAAAGATGAGAGATAGGAAAAAGTTTCTTGTATGTAGCAAAATTTGTATTTGATGAGGCTTTCTCCCTTTTCTTTTTTCTCAGCCTCCTTCTGAAAATAGGTCACTACTTCCTGTAATTACAGGACATTTAATGGACACACCAGCCTTTTTGTACTGTTGATGTTTTATTCTCAACTTGACTCCATTCCTCATAGACCGGCAAACCCTAAAAGATGCTATCAGCTTAGAACTCAGTGTTAAAAGGTGCAGGCAATTTAGAACAAAAATCAACCAGCACATTTATGATGAAGGAGGATTAATTTTAAAGGGAAAATATACCAAGCCTGATAATTTTGTGGCAAAACTAAATTATACATAATATCTTTCATATTCTTATATAGGTTACTTCTGACTTACAGAGTTATTAAAATTAAACAATGACCTTTTTAAGTTAAAAAAACTTCTCTATCCCCCTTCATTCTGAAGGACTACATAATTTTATTTCTCTAAAAGTAGATGAACTCCCTTTCCCATGAGTGCCACTTTTCCCACTGTGTCCTTGGTTCTTTATGTTGGCAAGGAATCTCAGCTTCTAGTGATTTTGTAAAAAAACTTGGAACCCTCAGGGAGTAGCGACAAACAAATGTCTTAAGTCTAGCGTTTAGGCCTGGGCCTCTGCAGGATGCACAGGAGACCAGTGGGGACAAACAAGTGTCTCAGTCTAGCCTTTAGGCCTGGGCCTCCGCAGGATGCGCAGGGGACCATCTGTGATTTGTCGCTGAGCTCATCACAGCCACATTTCCTCCCGGTGAATGCCAAGTTAATATTTGTTGACCAACGTGTCCAAACGCAAGAGAACCTTGAGGTTCTCTGGAAGTGTGCTTGTTATTTACTAAGTGCCCACAATGGTCAGAAAGTCAATGAATTTCAGAGCTGGAAGGGATTTTAAAGATGACCAGATTCAACACCTTCATTTTAGCCACAAGGAAACTGAGATTCAGAAAGAAGGGCTCTGCCCCAGGTCAAGTATCTTGTACATGGTGGAGCTGGAAACGAAACCCCCAGGCGGGGTTCTTTTTTCCTTCTGCAGGTGTATTCTGCCTTATCAGACTTGCTCACTAAATATTTATAATTTAATTATACCAACTTTTGTAGTTTAAGGGTTTTTGCAGAATCATAATGATGGAATTGGAATCCACTTTTGGATTTAGGGGGGAAACTGTGATAAAAAGACAGAAATAAGCAGAAAAATGATCAGTAATAAGCCAGGGATGTCTCTTCAATAGCTTCAAATATTTGATTTCTTGAGACTAAAGGTTAGATGCTCCTCGCAATGATGCTTTAAGAACAAAAAAAGGGGCAGCCGTGGAAGTTCTAGATCAAGTACACGTGGAAAGGAATAAACTGATGGGTATAGGATATTATTCACTATAAGGACCTTGTAATCAAATTTAAAATTGTTTGTTTTGAAGATATACCTGAAAATTCTATGAATAGCTCATCTTAATATATATATTAATATATATAACATGTATATTTTAAAAATTGATCTGACTTTACTTATATTCTACTTACTCCAAAAAGGTGCCAAGAATGTTTAAAAGGGACATTCAACATAACAAGATAAAACAAGTAAGAACGATGTTGTAAAAACAAGTAAGAAACATGAGAAAAAGGAAAATAGAGGCAGTAAAGTAAGTTGGGAACTTGAGTGAGACGAGTGTACAAAATATATGCCATAAAGCCCTTGTAGGTATTTGCTACAAGGAGGCTACAAATGTGCTGCTAAGCCTCCTAGCAAGAGGTGGGAACTGTTACAAGACTCAGAATTCCCAGATAAAAAGCAAACCAGCCTGCAAAAGCACAAGTGTTCTTACAAATGAGACCCTGACGTATATTAGGATAAACTGGAATTGCAATCACAGTCTTCTTGAGGCATTGGGTTCATCCAGTTCAGCTTTTTTCCAAAGAACAGGAACAGAGGCTACTCAGGATCATATCGTAGCCCTAGGTCTTCTGGATTTGGAGGAGAACAAGAAAGGAATCCAGGGAACCACTTTTCTTCCACAGAACCTCGGGAGAAGGTCAGGATGTGTCCTAATGCAAACACTGATGCCCTTCTACTGGCATCCTTCTCCCGAGGCATCCTTTGCCTCCTCTTCCAGTGTCTACACACGGCAAGGCTGGCTGGAGCTGCAGCTCTTCCAAGTTGCCCCATCCCTCTGCAGTCTAGAAGACTCCCAGAGGGAGGGCCAAAGAGACAGAGGGAAGACCTCTAACAAGATTGTTTATCCTGACTAGATGGCAGAACTGGTTAGAAAAATGCAGCTATTTCCCCAGGTAGAAGACAGGGGACACAATTTAGAGCTCCAAATACCCAGTATATGATAGAAGGAAGCCAAACTTCTTTGGGGAAGACAGGCAGGGAGAGAGGAGCTTACTGAAGGGACAATGGGGCCACGCAACATTTTCCCTAAGGGAAAACACTAAATAGGACCCTTGGGGTCTTTGCCCTTAGGAAGGTTGAGCATAAAGATATATTTAGATTGTTTGGCAGTAGAGGCGGAGGGAAGTCTATATTATAAAAAGGTGGTTTCTATGTTAGCTTTTATTTCTCATTTTGGTTCCTAGTCTACCTAGGAAATTGTTATTGAGAAAAATAGAGTGGAACTTGGACAAGCCCAAAATGTTTAGGATGACATCCCGCCACATAGGGGAAGAGGAATACATATGAAGAGACAGAAAAATTTCTTTTTCAGTTTTAAACTTTTGTCTTTGATCTTGATTACCAAAGCGTACATAATCATTATGAAAAATGCAGGAAATATACTTCAAAGGAATAGAGGATAAAATCCCCTATAATCTAATCCATTTTAAGGTTCTGGTATATTTCTTCCATTTTTGTCCTTATGCATTATTTGTATACATAATTATGACTTGATTAGAAAATTAACTAATTTGAAGATCAATTTCAAGTTACAAGATATTTCCTGGACTTGCTTCTTGTCTTTCTCTAAGCCTGGAAGATAGGATTTCCTCTGAAAAAAGCCTGTAAGGTTTGACTGTGAGGCAGTGATGCCGATTTACAGCCTATCTCTCAGAAACTAACCACCTAATAAGCAAGTCCTCTTCAAGCTATCTTGGGAGACAGTGACATAATACCAGCACACATCATTTTCATGCTGCTGACAACATTTCTGGAATCCCTCCTGTGGAATTGGTTTCTGAGTCTGTGGCACTTTCTTTTGAACATTACCACATTGACAACTTCTCCCATTTTGAGGGTGGGTTTGATACTTGGAAACGGCCACAAGTTATCAGGGGTCAGGCCCAATAAATAAGGTGTGTGATCCCTCAAGATGAGGAATATTGTTTTCAGTTGAGAACAGAGTCCAAAATGTAATGAAATTTACTTTCTCATGAGGTAAAAAGGTTTGAAGAGGAAATGTTTTAGTGGAAGGGAGATTTACCTTTTCTCTATGAATCTCAACGAATTCTACAGCGTGGAGGGGAAAATTGTCCCTGGGTTTTCTGATATGTAATTACACTTTTGGAGGCCAAAAGCTATTTGTTTGACAAGTTTCATGATAATTCCATTCTCCAATTCTAGCAAACAAAAAGTATTACATATTCAAATGTAAGATAGTCACTGAGGCAAATTGTTCTTAGCCAATTCCTTAGCTAAAACTGCACTTACCATTACTATTATCTTGAGATGCAGAAAGTTTCATGTTTTAATTCTCCTGTTACTCGCTTATAATGTCCTTTCTCTTCATTTCAGCCTGAATGTTCTTTCCCTTGTTTCCACATCAATCTGGTAGCACAAAAGAGGAAATTAGATGGCCGTTTGTCTGTGCAGATTGTTAATATTTCTGCAGGTTGCATACAGAGTCATGTATAACTTTCTGAATTCTTAAGCTTGTATAACATCTTAAGCACTTATCATAACTCAGTGTTCTTTTATCTTGTTTTTTTTATGTATCTTGTTTCTTTTATTTGACAGCAAAAGATTGCAAGCTTTATTTTATAATTCAAGGATTTTAGTAAACATCTTGAAGGAGAGCCAACAATATTTCTCTTTGTACTTTTTTCCCTACAAATTCCTGTTTCTTCCTAAGAGGTTGAGATATATAAATGGGTGAAAGTGGGTGAAAAAATAGACACATTGTGCATTTTTAAATTCGTTTGTTTTCTTGATACTCATTAGTTTTCTTATTCCTTGAGGACGAATCTCTCTTCCACTTAAAAATGTTTCCCCCTTTTGATCTGGTCAATCCTGTAAAGGAAAATCAAAATACTATCTTTTTTCTGTTTGTATATTATGTTGCCATTTGATTAGAAAAAAGTGTGGGTATATCTATGTATACATATTGCTTTTATGTATAAACACTCTTTCTGGAAATATAAAAAAGACCTGGTAACACTGGTTGTCTCTGGGAGAAGAAATTGAGTGGCAGGGGATAAGGAGGGAAGGAGACTTGACTACCCACCTTTTTTTGAACCTTTGGAGTTTTTGGACCATGAAGAATACAATGAACTAATTTAAAACAGCAAAAAACAAACCTGCCAGTTTAAAAAAAGAAAAGAAGAGATAAATCAAGGAAAAAGGGGAAAAATATACTCTGTTGGTTTGAGACTGGCATTTGGAGTGTTAACTCCAATCTCTTGTTAACTCCATCTCTCTTCCTCCATTCCTTTTTCCACTCTGGCCAACAGCTTTCAGCTTCTATTCATCTGATAAGAACTTAAAACCCACAAGTAGAAAATGCATTAAATATCCTCAAGCTGCTCCTAAACTACACAGGATCCCCAGTAAACAGATGGGTGTCCTTTGCAGAACACAGATGGAGGCCACTTCCTCTGGATTCCTTATTATAGCCTTAGCATGGACATGTGGCAAGTAAATATATTTTAATCAATGTGCTCAAAACCATACCTGCTTGAATTACTCTGCAACTGTTCTTGTCTTTTACTATTCTTTAACAGTTTTTCTCCCCTCTGAGCCTTCCAGCCTGTGGCTCTCCCTTTCTCTAGCTAACTCTTACCAACAACGCTGAAGGCCTTATTTCTTGAGCTCAATGGGACTTAGTGGCCGCTTCTCTAAGGAATGGTCTTTGACCCACCTGCTTTGCATTTCTTCTACCCCGCAAACCCCCACAGTCTAATTTAGGATTCCCTGTTTTAGCTCCACAGTCTAGTACAACAAATATCTGTAGAATGAATATAGGTGAATAAATAAATGAATGAAAATCTCGTATACTTGCCTTATTTTACCTCCTAGCCAAGAGATGGTACTCCATCAGAGGATCTCTGTTTCTCTGGGTTTCTGGGGGAGCTTCCCAGGGCCTTGGTAGAATAGTCCATATATATTTGATCTTCATAAACTGAATGCCCATGAAGTTGAAGGATGCTGGCATTTTCTTTTTCCACTATGGGCAAATGCTATCTAAATTGACTTTAAATAGAAAGCCCATATGAAAAATTATAATCTCAAATTCAGTCTAGCAGAACTTTTATTTTCTTATCCAGTACAATAGATCTTTCTCTTCATGCTTCTTTTTCAACTGCTTATGAATAACTGTAACAGAGGCAGAGATTTTACGTAAAGTCATCGCTCGAGAGCTAAACCATAAAACCTTATTATTCTATGGAAAGTGCACTTATTAAAAATGCATACGTTGGAAAGACTGATGACAAAATCATCCCCAAATTTTTTGAAACATTGAAAAAAGTTGAAACTAAAAAAAATGGAAGTACAACAGGATTAACTGCATTTAGGTTAAAAAGAATCAGTTGCACAAGCAGCGGGTTGGGGGAAAGCAGGCTTGGATGTGCTCATATGGAGAAAGTCAGTTATAACTGATTCAGAGTTTCAGCCAATTTTACTTTAAAATTCAGTGTGTTTATATTACCTTAAAACAAAGACTTCAAGTTCTGGACTCAGGAAGTAGTGATTTTCAAACTATGGTTGCCAACCATGAGTATGAAACCCATTTAATGGAGAGTAACCAACCTTTAAAAAATAGAATAGAACATAGTTGAGTCAAGTAGAATAGTTGGATTGGAAAATGCATGAGATGGTGGCAGCTGATTAGGGTATGTATTGTTTTGTGAAACCTCCATTTCAGCTACATGCATATGCATATTGATGACACGTAAAATAGATCTTTTTCTGTGGGTCATGCTCAAAAATTCAAGGAACACCAATTTAGAAAAAGATACCCAGATGGTGAGAAAGATGGGCATGGTGAGAAACAATTGCAACAATTGGGAATGTTTAGCTTGAAGGGGAGAAAACTAAGGGATGACAGAGCTGTCTTCCAATAGTTGAAGGGTGGTCATGAAAAGGAGAGAATAACTTTGTTCTCTGTGTTTCAGGAGACTGGGGTTCATGGGGGGAGCTTTTAGATCACTATCCAGATAAACTATTTGACAATGAGGGCTGTCCATCAATGGAACTTCAAAATAACACACTCCAGGAGTGCTTAAGTGTAAGACGGGACCCTCTGTCAGGGTTACTGTAGCAGAGATTCCTATATTGGGAGAGAAGTCAAATTAGATACCCTTGAATGTCCTTGTCCACTCAAGGACTTGATCATACTATTTTCTCCCATGGATTTGAATTTCACTAGTTACATGCTTCAGATCAGGTAATTAATTCAGCAGATGCTTTAAACACTGGTTATCTTATATGTTTATAATACCATGTGTCACATTTAATTTTTAGCCATGACATACCTGTTTTACAGATGAGATTATTAAGGTCACTGGGATACTTGGCTAGAAGTGAGAACAGGATCCAGGCCTCCTGAACTCCAGCATTTCCACTTAGCTATGGCAGCCGCTCAACCCTGAATATCCACACCAACATTGCTTGGGTGGCAGCAGGCTCTGCTGGGGTCCTACCTCAGTACCTGTATTCTTCTTGCTTCTACCAGAACTTTCAGTTTTTACCTGGCCATGGTCACCGGCTGTAAACACCCTATTTCCCAGGCTCCTTTGCAGTCATATATGGTCAATCAGACTCAGTTATGTTCAAGTAATATGAATGGAAGGCAGTTTCTGGGAAATTTGCCAAATTGACAGCTACATGCCTTAGTTCCCCTACCTCCTCCTTCTTCCCTTCCTCCTTCCTACTGGGTGGATCTCAAGCAGCCACCCTGAACCGTGCGGTGGAAACCATGCGCCGAGGATGGCAGAGCCCAGGTCCCGGCTTCCACGCCATTACAACGAGCCCTGGAGTGGCTCTTTTATAAGATGAGGAAGTAAAGAAACTTCATCTTAGATAAGCCAATGTTATTTTGTTGTTACGGAGCTGAAGCCAATTTTAATTGATAAGCAGCATCTTTCTTTTACCCATGGATGTTGGAGGTCCCACCCTTATCTGCTGTAACCCTGACAGGATGCCAGATCTTCTGAATTAGAATTTCTGCATCCTCACATCTTTCATAAAAGATGACCACCCATAAATGTTGGGCCAGTTTCTAATTAGCTATTCCCCAGGTGTAAAAATGGGGCATATTTGCATGCAAATTGCTCTTTTGGTATATTAAACGCTTCCTTCTTAGTAGTCACAGAAAATAAAACTTCCAAAGGTCCTGACTTAGGCACTCAGAGAACTGGATACATTTTCTTTAGTTCCTTAAAAATACATTAATAAGGACTCATTCAGAGTGAGGCACAAGGAAATAATAGACCTCCAAAATCTGACTTTGTAATAACACATACACACGCATAACCTTTCTCTCTTCTCCTACCCCCTCCTTTAAAATGAACTGCCATGCTATCATCCTAGTACAAAAAACAAATGGAGATTTTCAGATAAAATCTTTTTGAAGGATTTTTTTGGTGAATACCTTTAAGATGAGACATAGATGACAAAACCACAAATACTACATGTCTATAAAAGATGAATGTCAAATGGTTAGGCCAGGAATCTTTTACTTCCTATTTGGCATCCTGCTGTGTCACTCTGGGCCAATCAGATTCCACACTGTTTCAGTTTCACCAACTCTAAGGGAGAAGGCAATACTGCTTCATGAAGACAGAAATGCATCATTGTCTTGCCTTAAAGGAAGTCCATCCTCATTTCCACAAATGTGAGAATAAGAATAATTTTGAGACTTAAGCGCTCATTTATTTTAATATAACAAAACTCTAATGGTACAAAAGAGTTAGGACAAATACACTGATGCTCACTGAAATAAAATGTACTGTCTTTAATCTGCACTCAGTCATCACAAGGACCACATCTAGTTTAAATGAGATGCCTCTAAAATCAACCAGTGGGAAAATTTCTCTTACAGGGGTTTTGCTGACGAAGAGGTATTTCTCTCCTGCCACTACAGAAGGCTGCTGCTGCATTACTCATTCTCAGCTTTTCCCTTCCCAGGTGACTCCACCCAACACGATCACCATATAAGGCAATCCTGCAAGTGAGTTTTCCTCCTATTTACTGGAACTGTTTAGGGAACAGGAGGATTTTTTTAAAGGAATAGTTGGTCCCATTTCCTTTTTGCTATTATTGATTCATCAGCCAGGGAGAGGACTGGACGCATATAGGACAGTGGTTCTCAAACTTGGTGCACAACAGCATCATATGGGGAAATTTAAAAATACTGTGTCCAGTTCATTGCCTTGGGAATTGGAATTTTTACAGTTCCCCAGGTAATTATAAAGTGTGGGTATTTTGGGGTGGGGGTAGTTGTTGGGAACCAGTGTTAGAATTTAAAATAGGAGTTACCTTAATTCCACAAGCCACAGTTGATACTAAAATTAGTTGTTACTAAGTGAGTACTCCCTGGGGTAGGCACTCTGGTAAATGTTTTACGTACATGATATCATTGTGTCCTTCCCACAACTGTGTGTCAGCTCTAGTGACGATCTTCGTCATTGGTCTAATACAGCAGATTGAATACCATTATTGTTCAAGGCAACCACTATGAATACACAGACAAGTAAGACACAGTTCATGTCCTTGCAAAGTTAATGAACAATAACAGAGATTCATTATGATCATAATATAAGGGAGAACACTTTTTTGTGAAAGAGTACAAATTACTAACAAAGTTCAGTGGAAGGAAAGCCTACTACAGATTGGGGGTATCAAGAAAGATGCCACTGTAGGCTCTGTGGTGTGCTACAGAGCCAGCTCAGTCTGACCTCTGAAACCGACAACTAAGTTTTCAGAAATTTTTGAGCCAGTTGATGTCAGGTTGGTAGCTTGAAATTGACCAGGGTGGGAGTAATTAATTATACTCTGAAAATTTAGCAAACGCTACAAATCAGGTCTCTTTTCATCTGCAGAACTGGTTGTTAAATATTTACCAGCAACCACTGATGGACCTTAAAAGATGTGCAGGATTTCATCCCAGACAGGTGGGAATGCCAGGTAGAAAAAAGAATAGATCAAAGACAAAGAATTGGGAAAAAATTCAAGCTTGCTCAAATAAATGGTCTAGTTTGCATGGAAGAAGAATAAATGGTCTAGTTTTTGCCTATAGGAAGATACCAGTAGGAGAATAAAGGAGTAAAACTGAAAAGCTGAGGGAGGGATATGGTAATAAGTCTAAGGATGAGAGTAAAATGTCTGATAGTGCCTGACACAAAGTATGTGCTCAATAAAAGTTCACCCCCTACCCAGCTTCGTTTCCCAAATGAAGTTTTCAAACTCTTAACATCTAAGGTTCTCTACAAAACCCTATGAGGCAGGTATTTCTTTAAATAGATGATGAGACTGAGAATCAGAGAGATTAAAAAACTGGACCAAGAACACACAGTTAATTATTAGGTCCTATGGCAGTACAGGGAGGCGAATGTCTCTAAGATGGTGATGGGCAGGGTGGAGGACAGAGGTGTCACCCCGAGAAAGAGAAGCAGCAGAATTGGGGGAACGTGCTGAGTACAGGTGCTGGTCATGCGCACACGTGGCAATACCTGGCAGCAAAGATGGAATCTGGGAGATAAGCAGAGGCTAGAGATATGGTTTGCAAGTCACTACCCAGTGCCTGGCCAACGTGAGCCTCTTGTCTGTTTCCTAGGATTCACTGGGCTTGCAGGGCCCTGATTTCTCCCTCTTCCATTCCCCTCTTGGAGGCTGGGAAGCTCTTTGCTTCAGTCAGTGGCAATTTCAGGGATCATGGATCAGCTG